GCCTTGTTTTATTTTTCTTTTTTCAGAGAGAAAAATAATGAACATTAAAAATAAGGCACCAAAGGTTGTCACCAACGTACAAGATAGGTCTGACATAGTACCAAAAAAATAAGATTCTCTCCAAATTTAAGATGATGAGCATTGAACAATGGCCTAATAGAAGAAAAAGGTAACATAATGCCTTTAGAAAAACCTATTGTTTCTTTATTTCCTAATAACCCATATGATAGATAGCCAATGGATAAGGGATATGAGCTTCTTCCAGATTTGCAAGCTCTAAAACCATCCCATACCCATAATTCATCCACTATAGAAACACAAGCCAGCCAAGAAGAATTAAGAAGATATAGGGCTAAATGACATAACCTTCAACCTCATCACACCAGAAGAGATAGATAGGAGATTACCCTCTTGCAAACGAATAGGGCATTCATTTACAATGAAAGTAACTCACTCAGGTCATGATCAAGCGGGAAAATAAGAGTTGGTTAAGATTAGTTAAATAGCTAAATATTTGAATTCTGGAATTTCCTTTTCTGCCTTCAATAGCAGGGTCGTTATGTACATTCTGCAATATTGTACCTGCTGCTCTGGGCCAGCTATTTCTGGTTCATATATTCCTGTACCCTGTACCCTGTACCCTGTACCAAGAATAGTAATGAAAATATCTAGAATTATTCCATCATCTCTCAGCATTCTATTCTTCTCTGTTACCTCTTCCTCTATTCTATTTTCTTTTAACCCCGTCCTCTATTCTATTTTCTTTTAACCCCAATTCCTCCCTACAATCTTCCCCCCATTGTTAACCGAGGCAACCTGGTTGCACATGATCCAGTGCCCAGTGGTCTGACAGCAGACCACTTGAATCATCGAAAGTGAGGATTCTACCCCAAGCACCTTCCCAGGAAAAAGCAATGAAAGGTTACATTTTGTTTCTACAAAACCCGCTTCCAAGAGAATCTAAAGGCAGCCTCAGCTTGGTAAAGAACGTTACAGTAGAAAGAGCTTACATAGAATAGACCATTTTTAGTGAAAGGCCATATGGGGATGATCACAAACATCAAGGTGAAAGTCGCAAGATGGTTAGACCTTTCTTCTAGAGATCTCTTACCAAATAAATGGACAGCCTAGAAACTCAATCTCTGGCCAGTGCCAGGCCTAAAGAGCGTCAAATGAGGAAAAGAACTCCCATCCTTACTAATCCGCTTAACCATAGGATAATACCATATCTTTCTACACTCTGATTCGTCCTCCACGCCTACCTTCCACACCATACCTTGTGATAATCACCTTTCTCCACAAGCTGTTTCTGTAATACATGAACTTCCAGGGTCATTTAGTGAATAACAACTTGTTCATAGCCATAATAGATCTCATGCCAAGGTCCTCTAAAGCAAATGGTCTCTTCAAAACATCTCCAAACACAAGGTGATAAATGCCTCTGATTTTCAATGTAGCCAAAAGGGAACAACATTGAGTTCCCAGCCTCTTAACACTAGAGAGGACAGAGAAAAGAAAAGCAGATTGGCAAATTTGGTAGAGTGCTACGATGAGAGCATGCACCTTTAAGGAGGTAATTCTTCCACTCTTCTCTCGTCCTTTTTAATAATTATATTTCAAATACTTGTGTCCTTGAATCTAGCAATCAGAGGCAAATACTCGACAAGCCCTGTTGAGCAGTATCATGCTGCCTAGCTGGCAAAATCTGTATATACTTCAGGCCCTCCCATTGTGCAACCTTACAAACAGCTAGGCTAAAAAACTTAATGTTATACAGTACTTTTTTCTTCTTTTGCTTCTTCTGTTTTATCTTATCAATGTATTTTACAAATTATCACTATCTTAAAAATAATATATTTTATTTTTATATTCTGATAATATTACATTTACAATCTCTTTGCAGTTGCAAAAGCACCCTCAACCAGGGGCATTAACAATCTTATAACTGTATATAGAGTAAAAAGTTATGACTTTAGATTAAAGAAACACACTCTAAAACAGTGAGAAATTTTAGAAGTCCTTCAATTCAAAAGCTTGATCACGTGGTGACAAAGGAACAGACTTCACACTGCACATTCCAATTCTGGTATTATGTGCCAGAATCACTTAGATCTGTGCAAGTAATGCTCTTACTTTGTGCTCGGAGCATTAATAAATAGTAACTATACATGCAAATAACAAAGGTAATATGGGAGCATATCATTGTAAAAATCAAAATGAAAAAGAAAAAACTGTACTAGTGGGAAATTTTAAATGCCTTCAAAGCAAAAGCTTCTCTGACAAATGACAATCTTCATCATTGTACATATCGTCCCCGCCCTTAGTCTATGCTTAGGTAACGACTAGACAATTAACTCACATAAGTTTGTGCCTGCAGTTTTGGACCCCAGGAATATGTGAAACTTGCATATTTAATTCCTAACTGCAACAGTTTCCCCTGTTTTATGCTATGACCATCAACAACAAATATATGCAACTGTAAAATAAATTTCTACAGACACACCAAGACAAATGCAAAACAGCAGCTAACTGGATCATGCATAAGTAAATTTAAGTTGGATAAGAATGATACTGCTAAATTAGTCAAGAGAACAGAAATAAAACAATGATTAGAGGCACCTGGGGCTTCCAACCGGAAAAGAACTTTCCCAATGAGGATCAAGATACTCTCTGGGATATGTACGATACGGATCACCATCCTGCATTAATGATGAAAACCCAGACAATTGTTAAGGAGATGTAGCTCTCAAAGAATTTGCCAAGAAGTCAATATGGCAAACTTACCAGTGCATGAAATGGTCGCTTCATTCCAGATGAGTAAGAATAATCTGAATAGGTAGAGCCTGCACATGTAGAAAACATAATATTAGAGAATGATAATATCCATGCCCGAATGAGAGGGGAGAAAAGGGGAAAAAAACAACAGAAAGAAAAATAAAATCCAAGGGGTCAAACATAGTAATCACAAGGTAATCAATTAGAATCCATATTCCTAAGTTCAAATTCTGATGATTACTTACTGAACTTCCTTTCACTCTTTCACTCCCCCAAGAGCTACCACTTTCATCTCCATTGAGTGCCAAGAAGGTACTCAAGGATATTCATTTTTAAATCATAGTAATCAAGTTACAGAAGGGGATTATTGGAACTTTAGCAATATCTATTTAGAAATTTCTCCACTACCATCTTGCACTTACTTCCTCCACTAATTCTCTATCTTCTAATCTAATCTGAAATATTGAAATAGAGTTAGAAGCAAGCCAAGAAATTGATCAGGTCCGGGTATGTAATCTAGTCACAAGTCTATTAATAGTAAACCTTACAGCAATCTCGAAGCTTGTTTGTTTTACTTCCAGCCTTTACAACCTATGACTAATGCTCGATAGACAGAAACTTTGATTTCCTAGATTTGGGTATCCTAAAAAGACATTTTTTCTTGATAAATTCTTAGTTTACTTTTACTGATAAATTAGTAAGGCAAGCTGAGAGAACGTTGCCGCTGATGCTTTTTCCACTGCCGCAATGAGGACATGTTGCTTCAAGAAATTTCAATGCCACAGCTGATTTTCTCTGATTCTTTTCAGCAAGAAATTTCTACCTCTCCAGATCTTTATTCACTTTCCCAACAGATTCAATAAGGTTCTCTTTCTCCTCCTTGGACTTATGAGGATGGCTTGATTTGCTTCCAAAAATCGAATTTATCTACCATGACCTTGGACCCTCGTTTCTACTACTATATCTGCCATTCATTCCCATTGTCATGAAGGATTTAAATACACTTTGACAAGGATCCTGGCAGATATTTTTAATAGGCAAGGCATGAAGTGAATGATTCAAGACTATATTCAGGAGTGTTTAATGTGCCAGCAACATAAAACCAACCATTTGCGTCCAGCCAGATCTTTCCAACCTCTTCCTGTTTGACTTCAAATTTGGGCAAATATTTATACGGATTTCATTTGACGGCTAATGAATTCCCGTGGTAAATTTGTTCTGGTTAATTGTTTCTCCAAATATGCTCATTTTTTGCCTCTCTCATTCATAAATTCGTCTCAATGTTGCTCACATATTCTTTGAGAACATTTTTAAGTTTCATGGGCTTCAGAGACAATTGTTGATGATAGGGATGTCACCTTTTCTAGCTCTTTCTAGATAGAGTTGTTCTGGTTGAAAATAAGCATATTTACTGCTTTTGAAATTTTAAATGTAAATTTTTATTAAAAGTCAAAGTCATTTTTTAAACATTACCATTTTAACTCTCATAATTAAACCTATTAAAAGCAAATTTTGACTTTGACTTTTACCAAAAACACTTTAAATTTAATTCATTTCGTTGCAGAA